TTTTTTAGTTTTATTATAGGCCCACTTAAATTACCTTTTAAATGATCTTATAGTGGAAAAAATCAATCTATAGACGTTAATATTTATATAAAATAAAGTAGTTAATTTCTTAATGTTAGTCTATACTTTGACAAAGAAACACAGAGAATCTGTATCTTCGTGTTGCCCAATCATTCAAGCGTGCGGAAAAGCTTGAAGGAAAAATATATATATATATATATATAACAAAAGGTGGTAGAAAAAGAAGAAAAAAACTTATCTTGTTTTGGATCATATTTGAAAACTAGTTAATGTTTACGAGGTTGATTTGATAAACCAACTAGGCTTTTGTTAGTTGATAGTATCCTTATCTCTATGCTAAAAGCCTTATAGACGCAAACATTCCCATTAAGATTCAGAAATATGGGGTGAAATTAAAAAATAGTTAGATTTTACACATGGTAATTGATTATAAATAAGGTACCATTAGCCTCAACATTAAATCTAGAAAGATTTACCATGCTCACATAGTCAATTAATTGAGTAAAATATAGAATCAAGTATAACACGCAACCAAACAAGGCATAAAGTATTCTAAAATCTACTTCGAACATGAATAACCACGGCATATGTATATAAGCTCGTCACCTCATGTATATACATCACCCCGCATGTATCAAACAACATCAACTAATAGGAAAAATTCTATCAAGCAAAGTTAGGCAAGACACTTATCTCATTCGAGCTAGTCCAAATCGCATTTCCTTGAGAAATCACCTCTAACCAGTTCAAATCTATCCAAATATCAACCAAAAAAGTCAATCAATCCTATAGGAAACAATCTCAATCCATAAAGCTTCGATCTTTGAAGAATTCCCACAAAGTCAACAAAAGTCAACCAAATATCAAAATCCGATGGCTCATAAACAACCGAGTCCAAAAATGTGATTAGATTCTAAAATTGAGTCCAAATTGGTACTCAAATCTTCAAAATACACTCTCTTAAAGTTTAGGCAAAACTCTAAATTTCGTCTTAAAACTCCATGTTTTTGGTATTAATAATTCATATAGATTCTTGAAATAATACAAAAAAAAACGAGTAGAAATCACTTACCCCATAATCTTGTATGAAAATCTTCAAGCAAAGTCGCCCCTCTCCAAGTCTAAGTTTCAAATTATGAAAGAACAAGTCAAATTTTGAAATGACAACTTATACACTCAACCCAACAGTACCCTTGGTGAACACGACCCCTACTCCACGATCGCGAAGCACTAACCAAATACATTGACCAAATACACATCGGGATCGCGACCTTATCCTCGTGATCGCATTAGCCAATAGTCCTCTCTTTTGCTAACGCGAGCAAAACCTTCGCGAACGTGAAGGTTAAATCCTCCCCTGCCAACTCTAACCCTACGCAAGCACATCAGCCACTAGCGAACCAATACCCATGGAACCAATACTACACGAACGCGACTCTTCTCTTGTGAATGCGAAGAGAAACAGACGAGGTACCAAAAACACATTCGTGAATGCATCGCTCCGACCGCAAACGCGAAGCACACTCATACCTGCTAAAAACAGCAACTCCAAACATCACCAAAATGGTCTAAAACCACCCCCAATCACGCCCAAGCCCCTTGAGACCCCGCCCAATCATAACCGCAAGTCTAAATAAATTATCCAAACTTATCCAACGGCTCAAAACTCTACAAATAATATTAAAACCAAGAGTCGAAGATCAAATTATTCTCTTAACTTTCAAATATTCCAACTTCGTCGAATGCGTCTGAACCACACTTAAACATTCTGTATTACAACCAAACTTTGCACACAAGCTCCAGTCAACTAAATGATCATATACAAAGTTTCTAAACCACAATAGGAGCCCGATAACACCAAAGTCAATTCCCGGTCAAACTTATGAACTCTTCAATTCTTCAAATTGTCAATTTTCAATCATAGAGTCAAAACCTTCTAGGAACATCCAAATCCAAATCTGAACACACGCCCAAGTCCAATATCACCATACAAACCTATTGAAATCATCAAATCTCGATTCTCAAGTCGTTTGCTCAAAAGTCAAGCCTGATCATCTTTTTAAACTTACAACTTTCAAATTGAGAATCACTCTATCAAATTAATCCTAAACGGTTCGAAAACCTAAACCAACTATAATGCAAGTTTTAGTACACTATATAAAGCCATTCGAAGTCTCAAATCTCAGAAGAAATGCTAGAACTCAAAATAACTGATCATGTTGTTACATTATCTCCCACTTAAACATACGTTCCACCTTGAACGTGCCAAGAATCATTCCAAAGTCATACAATCATTCTATAGACGTATCATGCACCTCGCCCCGGGTGATCTCACATCACCTAAATCTGTATAAGCCTGTAAATACAATCCTAACTGAAGATTCTTTATTTAACCTTAGCTTACAATTCTTAGAACCAAATCCCAACTTTCGGAACTCCATCTAAGTTTTGATTCTCATACACACACATACACACTGTATCAATCTCAACAAGCTATATAAAACCATAAGTATACTTCCAACATGTGACCACACGATGAACCCCATCGCTCATATGCCTATAACATAACTTTTGCCTATAATAGCTGCTCTTTACCAAACTCAGTACCGATAATATAAAAGTAAAAAAAATAGAAAATAGAAAATATGAATAAAAAAAGTAAAAAAAAAATAGTTTTGAGGGGGTTCGTGCGGCGGGGTAGGGGGTAAGGGTAGGGTGGGTGGTGCAGAAAAATAAAAGAACAGAAAATTGAAAATACAAAAAAAAAAAGTAAAATCGGGGCAACTAAGTAAATTTCTAGATAAGTTGGGTTGAGATCCCTTTGTTTTGGGTGAGTTTCATGAGTTATATTTGAGCTGCTTAATGGGTCAGAATGGGCCATAAAAAGTAATGGGTTAACTTGGGTCAGCCCAAATTGACCCATGAACTAATATGTTTGTAGCCCAACCCATTAATCTCTGGGCGGGTTGGATGAGTTTGGGCTCAAATTGCCACCCCAACACACAAGATACCGGATGCGAGCCTTTATTTCATCCATTCCGCTCCAATACGATGTGGGACATCCTCATCAATCTTCATATTTTCTTGGATTACTGACCTAAGATACTTGAAACTTTCTTTTAGTAATGACTTGCATATCAAACTTCAAATCCATATCCACTTTCTAGGTCACATCGTTGAACTTACACTCTAAGTATTCTATTTTGGTCCCGCTCAAATTGAAACTTTATACTCTAGGGTCTGTCTCTAAACTTCCAACAAGTCGTTAACACCACCTTGCATCTTATCAGTCAAAACTATATCATCTATAAAAAAACATATGCTATGACACCTTCCCTTGAATATAATGTCAGTGCGTCCATTACCAAGGAAAAAAAAGTGGGCTAAGAGCTGATCTCTGGTGCAACCCCATCATGCATGTCATTAATCACCCTAATATAGGCTATAGGCACACCTCTAGCCTCAAAATATCTCTATAGAACCTCTCTCGACTTTATCTTATGCTTTCTCATGGTCAATGAACACCATATTCAAATCCTTCTTCCTCTTCCTATATTGTTCTACCAATCTCCTTATAAGATGAATAACTTTCATAGTCGAACGACGCAGTATAAATCTTAACTGGTTCTCGATGATAGACACACTCCTCCTTACCTTTACTTCTATCACCCTCTTACAAACTTTCAAAGTATGGCTTAGCATCTTAATACCCCTATAGTTGTTGCAATTTTAGATATTACCATTGTTCTTGTACAACAAAATTATCGTATTCTACCTCCATTCTTCAGGCATCTTCGTCGTCCTAAAATGACATTAAACAATCTGGTGAGCCACTCTAAGCCTTCATACCCGCGTTCTTCCAGAATTCCATCAGAATTTTGTCTGGCCCAATCGTTGTGCTCCTGTTTATCTTACGCATAGCCCCCTCGACCTCCTCAGCTTTTATGTGCCTACAATACCCTAAATCTCGACAACTCTCGAAGTGCTTCAAATCACCCAACACAAAGATTTTATCCCCTCTTCATTCAAGATTTTATGGAAGTATATCTGCCATCTTCGTCTAATTTGTGTCTCTTCCATCAAAACTCTGCCTCCTCGTCTTTGATGCACCTCACTTGATCCAAATCATGGGCCTTCTTTTCTCTCACCTTGTTTAGCTTGTACATCTTTTTGTCCTTGTCTTTGACCCCAAGTTCTTCATACAAACGTCCAAATGCTGCAATCTTAGCCGCAATAACCGCTATTTTCGCCTCCTTCTTAGCCTTCCTATACTAATCCATGTTCATCCTCTTCCCCCCTCCCCCCGTCTATGCTCTCCACTAGCTAGCTTTAAATGCACCGCTTTCTTAGCTTTTACTTTTCCTTGAACCTCTACACTCCACCACCAATTCCCTTTGTGGCTGTTAGAGTAACTCTTTGAGACCCCTGACACCTCTTTCGTAGCTTCTTTAATATAGTCACTATCATGGTCTACATACCGCTCGCGTCCCACTGCTTCTCCAGGCCCTCATAGCCAGCAAATTCTTCCTCAATTCTTGAGCTTTGTCCTTAGTTAAAGCTCCCTACCTGATAATATTTTTGGTCGTTAACCTAAGTGATCCCAATTTAAAATGTTTAATTAACACTACAACATTTTATGCCTACAGCCACACTAATTTAGGCGATGCTTAAAAAGTGTTGTCAAAAGTATCTGTAGGAACACTTTTTAGGCGTGGCCTTTGAGTATATTCTTTGGCCACAGCTTTTAAGGTAACACTTATAAAGCGTTCCTTTTAATATAAAGACAATATTTTTTAAGTGTTGCCTAAATCTAAAATTTTTGGCCACACTTCTTAGGTGTATTGCTACGTTTTTAAAGAGTTGTTATATTGTCATATTAAATACAACACTTTACAAGCGTAGCATAAAAATTCTTATAAAATATTTCCCCAAAAATTTCCCACCAAAATTTCACTTTATAAAATATTTGCCCCAATTCTAATAAGGCTAAAGATCGATGACGTTCAGTTAGGAACTATAGGCAAAAGTCTAAAAATTTCTTATATAAAATTTCACTCAAAATTTCCCCCCAGATATTAGAATTAATGAAAATATTTCCCCCAAGTACAATATCATCGATCTTTCCCCAATTTTTTATCTCACTGCAGCTTCACCTTAATTGCCTCCTTAACCTAATTTATTCCTTTCAATTCTTTGTTGCATATATCTTCAGATTACTCTCACCCATATATTGCAAATCTCCATCCCTTTCTCTATTGGTAAGTATTTCTTTGCTCAAAACTTTTCTATTTTTTTCAATTTTTAGTTTTGTTCTTATACTTTAAGATTTAATTTTTCTAGTTTCTTAGTAATGGGGATAAAAAAATAATCTTTTATTGTGTACAATATTTGGGTACCTCTGTACAATCTTTCTTTTATACTCGAAGCTTTGAACTTTTTATAATTTCATATTCTTGTGCTAAAAAGAAGTAATTTTGTTTTGTTTAATTTTGGGTATGCTTCGTTAATTTGGGTTTTCGTTTACACTAATTTCGCTTCTAGGTAACTATAGATTTATTGATATGTACTGTTTTGGACCTTTATTTGTTTGCTTACTTTGTGTTTTTTTCTTGGGTTAAATAGATTAATTTGGGTTCTGGGTAAACGAAATTAGACTAATTTGTTTGCTTACTTTGTGTATTTCGTTGGTAAAATAGACTAATTTGTTTGCTTACTTTGTGTATTTCGTTGGTTTTCTTGTGATTAATTGTTTGTGGGTTCTTTAAGATAGACTTTTTATTGACGGCGAGTTTTTTCCTTTAGATTTGTAGATATTTAAGTACTTTTTTGGACCTTTATTTTGTCCGTTTCATTTGTATTTTCTGTTAATTGTTTGTAGGGTTTTAGTTTAGGCTTGAAATCCCAACTAAATTGTTCTCCGAAGCATTACGTCGAACACTCAATTCCTTAGAAGAAAACACACTGCCTCGCTTGTGGTTGTATTGTCACAGGTAGTAGCTGCAATTATTTGTTGCAACAGTTTAGGATCATTTAGAGTTGATGAGCTTATATCAACACCCTCCTCATATGCTAAGATTTCAAATCCATTTGGACTGGCAACAGTTTGTAGAGCATTTCGTCGATCACCTGAACCCCTCGTCTTTTGTTGGTGTGTCTTCGCACATGTAGGTGTGTTCTGCTTGGTAAAAGCTTCCCTTACCACAGTCCAATCATTCCCAATTGTGTTCTTATTAAGTCCATCTTCATTGGAGGAAGTTGAAGCATGTTCATGTCCTTCTAAATTATTAGTTGCAGCATTCAGAAAAGTTGTTTGTACCCCAGCATTGGCCTGAACATTTACAGGATTTGAGGGCACTTATCCTCTTTATTCACTGCCTTTGCACTTGTAGTTTCTGTATTATCCAAAGCATCACCACATTCTTGTGCACCATATTTTAAAACCTCACCAGTAGATATAACACCTGTTGCTTCTTGTACTTGTTGTTTTACATAAATTTTCACTAGATTCTTTATGATAAATCGAAACATGAAAATTTGATATTTTAAGATTATGACTTGATCTTACACTTAGTAAATATAGTATACATGAAATATTGATATATTAAGATCATGATTTGATATTACTCTCAGTAAATTATGGTAATATGGAGTATCTCATTTTTACTTTTTTACTCTTTTCATTCTTGCATATATATCAATGCCAATAAATCAATAATCATTATAGTCACAAATCTTCATGATACAATTTGAAAAGAATATTCCAAGATGAGAAAAACAGCCCAATGCTCAATAACCAAATCTGGAATTCCATAGTAAGATCTATGGCAACTGAGTTGTAGAGCTACTCTAACTATACAACGTGTTTAATTGATCAATTATTGCATATGCCCCATAGATGGAAGATCTTGATATTTGCATGGGCAAGTGAGTTATAGTAAATCATACCAGGGGAAAGATAGAACATCAGGATAGCTTTGATAATATTCAATACTTCATTAAAAGTTAACAAAAATGTATAGGAAGATGACTTTGCTCCATGAGTCACGAAGTCCTTTGTCCATATTGGTGAAAAATATATTCATTGATCAAAATTATTTCTTAGGAAAATGTTTATGATCATTGGTGTAAATGCTTGGCTGCTTCTCTTTTATATTGATAAATATAAGAACTTAATTCTGTGTTTGTATAAGAATTGTTGTTCCTTTATGTTAAAAGGAATATATTTGAGTAATAGTTCTTAAGATCCAGAAACAATAAAATTATCGATCAAGACTTTCTTTGTTTGTGAGTCTGATCAAGTTGTGTGTGCTATATCAGTTAATCCCTTTGTTCCTTGCAGCTGGAGTTTCTGAGATTCTTTTCTTCTCGCTTCTTCTCCCTGTGAACAGTGCCTCAAAACACTTCTCATTCAAATGCAGCTATTTTGTTTGGTTCTCTTTTTCATAAACTTAGTTGCCGTTCTGTTCCAATCTTGTATGTCATTTGCACTCAGCCCTATTCACAAAGGGATGGACCTTCACCATCTTATCTCTATTTAATACATACAGATAATTGCTAGAATATTAAATCTCTTTCGCCCACTATTTTTAATGATTGTACATTCTGTTCAAAATAATTCTACTGTGCACATAATCTAGAGCTTTCAAGTTAGTAATTACCTTAACACGGGCAAGCATCATATAAGAATGTAAATTAGCAAAATAAAGAGAATTGACAAATAAGAATCTTATTATGGTGGATCCTACTAATTTTACTTTTTTATTCTTGAAGATAAGTCACGCTCGGGAAGATTTGTGGTGGACTTGAAGTTGGATTTGTCTTAGCTTAAGTGTCATGACGAGGTAAGAAAGTCTTATTGTTTTACAACACGTGATTTTACAAATTTATTCTTGACGTTTAGGATTTAGTTTTACAATATAGTCAATGCTTAAATGATTATATATTTGAATATCTAATAAATTTAATTTTTAGGAATTCAAATGTTCCATCCAAGGAATGGATGGATTTACCAAGATATAGCAAAGAGTATGTCGAGGGTGTTCAATCTTTCTTAAATTTTGCTTACTCTTATGGAGATCCTCAAGGCAAAGAAATTCAATGCCCATGTACAAAATGTTGTAATATCCTATGGACTCAAAAGAATGCAATGTATGATCATCTAATATGCTATGGATTTGTTCAAGGTTATACAAGATGGATTAATCATGGGGAATGGAAAATTTAGATGAATGTTAATTGTGACATGGATGATAATGTTTCCTCGTACGATGATATTGATGGGTTGTTGAATGATCAATTTAGAGATGTTGCACATTCCGAAGGAGTGTATGAAGGTCCAAATGAATATGCCAATAAATTCTCTAACTTAGTTGACGAGGCAAGCCAAGAACTATATCCTAGTTGTAAAGGATTCTCTAGATTATCTTTCACAATCCGTCTGTATTTGTTGAAGTGTCTACATGGATGGAGCAATGCGTCTTTCGCTTCTCTTTTAGAGCTATTAAAAGGGGCGATGCCTGAGTTGAATATTCCTATATCCTACAATAAAGCCAAATATATGGTAAAGGATCTCGGTCTTGATTATGAAAATATTGATGCATGTCCCAATGATTGCATGCAATTTAGGAATGACCATAAGGATGATGAATATTGTCATGTCCGTGGAGCTTCTCGATATATTAAATATCCTGAACTAGATAGTGATGAAGTAGATAGCGAGCTTGAGACTTCCAAAAAAGGTTATCGTGTTCCAGCAAAAATTTTGAGATACTTTCCATTAATTCTTAGACTCAAAAAGCTATTTATGTGTTCAAAGACAAGCATATACATTGAGGTGGCATGACGAGGAGCGTTCTAAAGATGGAAAGTTAAGGCATCCTGCTGATGGGCAAACATGGAAAGACTTTGATAGCTTGCATTCAGAATTTGCAAGGGATTCTCGCAATTTGAGACTTGGCTTAGCAAGTGACGGGTTCAATCCATTTCGGACCATGAGCATATCTCATAGCACATGGCCAGTTATTTTAATGGTGTATAATTTGCCTCCTTGGATGTGCATGAAGCCAGAATACTGTATGCTTTCTTTGCTTATACCTGGGCCACGATCACCTGGAAATGACATTGACGTTTATTTACAATCATTAATAGAAGAGTTAAATGTGTTGTGGGAGTCCGGGGTAGAAACATATGATGCTTCAAGAGATCAAACCTTTCAAATGCGAGCAGCTCTTTTATGGACAATCAGTGACTTTCCTGCATATGCTATGTTATCTGGTTGGAGTACAAAGGGAAATTGGCTTGCCCTTGTTGTAATTATGGCACTAATTCTCGTTATCTTAAACATAGTCGAAAAATGTGTTATATAGATCATTGAGTTTTTCTGCCTATGGATCATCCGTGGAGATCTAATAAAGGTCTTTCAATGGAAAAATAGAATTTAGGCCTCCTTCGTCTTTGTTGAAGGGAACTGATGTGCTTAATAGCTTAAAGAATTTTAACAATGTGTTTGGGAATAAGCGAAAGAGAACAAATGATGGCCCTTGGAAAAAAAGGTCAATTTTTTTCGAATTACCTTATTGGCAGCACAACTCGTTACGTCATAACCTTGACGTAATGTATATAGAGAAAAATATTGTGGATAATGTAATTGGAACTCTTTTGGACATTCTTGGAAATACAAAGGATCATGCAAATGCTCGTTATGATCTTAAAGAGATGGGCATTAGGAAGAACCTTCAGCCAAAGGATACAAAGGATGACAAGAGAACAAAGTTTGCAAAAGCATGCTTCTCAATGACCAATGGTGAAAAATCAGTTTTTTGTGGTGTTTTAAAGACAGCAAAGCTACCTGATGGTAGTGCTTCCAATATATCCAGGTGTGTGCAGCTAGATGAAAGAAAATTATCCGGTTATAAAACCCATGATGCCCACTTCATGTTACATTACTTGTTGCCAATACTAGTTAAAAGCAAACTTCCTGATCATGTTGCTATCCCTTTGATTCATCTAAGTTCTTTATTTCTCTATTTATGTCAAAAAGTTATCACAATGGAAGAGCTAGATTGCTTGGAAGTAGAGATTAGAGAAACTACGAATCAATTGGAAAGAATTTTTCCTCTAACTTTTTTTGATATAATGATTCATTTGCCTATTCATTTGGCGAATGAGGTAAGGTTGGGAGGTCCAATTCAAAATCGATGGATGTATCCTCCTGAAAGATATAAGTGTACATTAAAATCATATGTTCGCAACAGAAATTATCCAGAAGGATCTATTGCTGAGGCATATTGGTTGAAGAGTGTTTGACTTTATGCTCTAGGCACTTATATGGAGGTGTAAAGACTCGATTTAATCGAAGACCCCGAAATAATGATGAATATGATTCAATTAATGCACAAGCTTCTAGTTTGTTCCCTAATACAGGTTGTCCTTTAGGAGCAAAAAAGAGTGATCCAATTGTTTTAGATGACATGTCACTAAATCAGGCACATATATACTTATTGAACAATTGTGACGAAGTTCAAGAATATATAAGGTAATATAATCACTTATAGCATTTATTTATGTAGGTTGTTATTAAATTACTTTATTTATCATTTTACTAACAAAAAAAATTACTTGTTGTGTAGAGAATATGAAGTTGAGGTTAGTAATCAGAGACGAGGATCTAAATGGAGCAAGGCCAAGAATCACAGTCAAAACTTCTCTCAATGGTTTGAAATTCGTTCTTTGAAAGAGGATGTGCCCGATCTTATTAAGCAATTGTCCATTGGACCAAATTCAATTGCTAAAAGATATTTTGGGTATCTCATTAATGGATATAGATTCCATACGAGGCAGCGTGATGCAAGACGTAAAATACAAAATAGTGGTGTTACATTAGTCGCCCTAACTACAAGTTTTGCAAGCTCAAAAGATAAAAATCCGGTTGACGCAAACATGACATATTATGGTAGAATAGTTGATATATTTGAGTTAGACTATTATGGCCATTTTAAGGTTGTCTTATTTAAGTGTGATTGGTATGAGGTTGAAGAAGATATTTATGGCCTTACTTATGTCTACTTCAACAAGAAATGTTATCAGAATGAGCCTTTTGTCCTAGCATATCAAGTACACCAATGCTTCTATGTGCAAGATCCATATGATCAAGATAGATATTATGTCATGAAGACTGTGCCGAGAGACTTGTTTAGCATAAGTGATGAACTTGAATCTAATTCCCCCACACTATTATGAAAATGAGCCATCTGAATATTTGGTTGGCCCATCTATACCGGAGGATAATGGTGAAGTTGTCTTAGTAAGGAGTGATGTTCCAGCAACCATTCTTGATGTACCTCCAGAAGGATTTCTAGCACAACAACTTGAAATTGAATCAGATGAAGAGTTTGATTTTGAAGACACATCATGAGTTTTATTCTAATTCAAATAGAAAATAGCTTAGCCATTTATTTATTAATAGCTAGAAACACATTAAAGACTGTTGCTTTAGATTTAAATTGATGTTGTCTGTTTCGTCAAGTTCAATATTAAATATTTTCTTGCTGATCGATTTTTTTGATGTGCACATATATTTTCTGCTCATGTATTTTCAATGTGTCCCTTTTGGTATCACTAGAAATTACTTGATTGGTTATTTAATATGTCTCTTCTAAGGAACCATATTGTATTATATGTGGATTGAGAATTTGTCCTCTAGTTTTGAATAGAGAAGTGAACGTGAGTAAGTAGAAATTATGCTTCGGAATTTGTATTGCACTATTACCTGGAGTATTGGAGCAAGTTTTAAAGTATAAACATATTTGTTTTTTATTATTATCAGGTGGTGCACATGCAACTAAAGAAGATATTGGACTAACAAATTTTAAGGAACCAAGAGATATTGAACAAGTATCTTTGTAACTTTCTTTATTTATATATGCTCTGGAATTGTTTATCTACATATCTTTATATATCCTCTGTTTTATGCAACAAAAATCAGGTATACTAACGTGAGGAACTGCAGGGTACAATTGAATAGTTTCGGTAATGACAGCATGCAAGTAGTATAATTTTCCCAATGAATCATAATTAAGAAGCCCTACAAATTGGATTGCTCTCCGATTAACTGATTTAGGATCCTCTGCGTCATACTGATGCAATAACACATTATCTTCTTTTGATCGGACATCTTCCAACGATCAGTTCTGCATATAGCTTCTCCGCTACATGCTCATGAGTCATTATCATGTATATAGCCCAAGATAGAGTTGTTGCAGTTGTATCACGACCCTCTATGTTAAAATTCAGGACAATGTCCCCAGGCTTTTATTAGTCATATTGTTCTCAGGGTCTTTTCCTAGCTCAATGAATCTTGATAATATGTCTTGCTTAATCTGGTTTATGTTAAAAATCATAAAGACATCAGTTAGTAGTGCTGAGATGCACTTGTAAAAAAGAAACAACAGTTAGTAGTAATGCAGATGTTGCTGAAGGTGTGTGATTGAGCACTTGCTTTCAGGTTCTTGTGGTTTCTACAGCATGGGAGTGTGGTGTGTGAGCATGTGGTGGGGGGGAGGGTAAAAGGTTGGGATTCTTGGTGACTTTTGTAGCTTCTATTGTGGTGAAACAGTGGGGTTAAGTTGCGGTGATGATGTTGAGGTGATATGTCTATTATTGTGTGAGGATGTTGTGGTGTTGGTTGTGGTTGAATTAAGGCTGGATTAGTAGATTGTTTGCGTGCATGTGTTTTCTTGGTTTGGTTTATCTCTTGTTGTGGTGAAACTGGTCTTAGTGGAGCTCTACATCCAATAGTCTGCTCCCAGGTTCTTGTGTGTTCTAGGAATAGGTGTTGGATGTAAGCTGAAGGTGTCTTATTTCTTAAATATTTACTTTCTTACATACTATTATATATTCTTACTAGTTGTTAGGCTAAAGTAATTTAATTTTTTTTGTATGTAGGATGAATCAAGCGGCAGCTCTTAAGAGAAAAGTTCTGAATCCAAACAAAGCTCAAAGTCCAATGAAGAATATAGGTTTCGATTTCCAATACCGATCAAGTGCCGAACTAGCCAAAAAATTTCAGATTAAGAGAGAAAAGCTCGCAAGTGATTGCAACGATAAAGTTGCTAAAGAGCAGGCATTACTTGGAGTTAAAAGGAAGAATTATATGCCTGCAACATTAGAAGGACAAAGTAGACAGAGGTTAACTCAATCGAATGTGTCAGTTCAAAAGTTAGTAAGGAATAGATTACCGGTGTACAAACCAATCCAATCGTCTTCAAGGGAAGATCTGAACACTTCACATAATATTGCAAGTAAAGGACAAATTAAACAAAGGTCAATGCAATTGGAGGAGCCCATTCAAAAGCAAGGAATGAGTAAATTACCTATGCCCACATCCATGATCCAATCATCTGCAAAGGTAGATCCTAACACTTTACATATGATTAGAAGAACACAAGGTGAAGAAGAGAAATAACTTGATATTCAAGAGCTACAAAATTGCAAAAAGGTAAAGACAAACTCAGTCCTACCGTCAACGAGTGTTAATCAGTTTCTAAAAAACTATGGGATACAAGTCGGTGGTGAAAAACATCCTGATAATCACCCAAAAAATGAAGTCAAATTTATGTCCTCTCCTATTATTGATGAGCGTGAAATAGAATTGGATAATTTTGCTGCACAAGATGAAGTTGGTGACGATGAATTTATTGGAGATGAGGATATGAACATCGATGGTGCTGCAGGTTGTATGTCTTAAACCTTATAATTATTTTACATATTTTGATTTTTTTCTTCTTATGTCGTGTTTGTTCTATCAATCTAAGGACATCAGAGAAGAAAAGAGTTCGAGGAAAAACAACATGCAAGAATATTCATGCAAGAAGTTTTGAAGAAAGAGAGGAGGTGACATTTGATAAA